CATAGTTAATCGAGGGGACTGGTTATGAAAGCCGGCGAACTTCAAAGGACCGGCCTATTGTTTGGGTTTTGAGGTTGAGATGCACCGTCACGTGACATTGACCGTGCATCTAAAAACAACATGGCGGACGCGTGTGATGACATGTTCTTCTTTGGAGACGATTTAGAGGCAATTTTAGGAGTTTTAGAAGAAGAAGAAGACCTTGATGAGCACTTCAGAGAAGCAGCTGCTGATGTAAGCTATAGAATCTGTTTTAATAGTTAAAATATAGCCTAAAAACGTCAAAAAGGAAGATTGAACATGAAGGTCGAACAGACTAGCTTTCGACATCATGCTTTCGATCAATCACTCTTATTTCGGGCTCTATTTATAAACCATTTCTTGCCTAAACGTTATTTTATCAGCTGTTGATTTAAAGATGATTTATGAACCTAAGTAGTGTGTGATGTTGATCGTGAATTTGGTTTTGCAGGTTCACCCACTGAGCGTCACTTGCCCTCATTGTCCAAAGAAATGCAAGAGTAAGAGCGGACTGAAACGTCACATCACTGTTAAACACAAAGATAAAACAGAAGAAACAGAAGAAACTGAGACAGACAAACCAGAAAATCGAGATCTATTAACTGTGGAAACGTATGCAAGCATCGTTGGCAATGCTAAAGTGAAACTTAGAGACAGCAAAATTTATCCAAAGGTAAACAGAGACGAGATATGGTCCTACAACTGCAACACTCTACAATCTTCAACACCTAAATTTTCTGAAATTCAGGGGCTTTATATTCAATTGGCAAAGTCTGGAAATGCAGAGAGGTTTTATGCAGCCTTTTACGCTAGCATAGTCTTGCATGCTTCGAGCCATTTTGTAGGATTATCAAGAAACTCTGCTACATTACTTTGTTCAAAAGTGGCCGACTGCCTTTTAACACATAGCAAAGAAAAAGCAGAAACTCACACATGTGAACCATTGACGAAATTATCTGATAAAGAGAAGTCAGGGTTACAGTATATTGGAGGTTATGTACTACATAAGCTACATAACAAGCACAAACAAGCAAGTAAAACACTAGAAAATGACCACGCAATCTCACTGATAATGGCTGGGAAATGGGACAATCCTATTGGTGAAGATCAGAGATTGACTACAACATTGAATCGAGATGGACTGTGGAAGATCACAAGAAATGCTCAATCTGTTTTAGAAAGAACTGAACACTATTTCAGGGAAGCTACACAATAATAATAATAATAATAATAATAATAATAATAATAATAATAATAACGGTTTATTCACAGTATATCCACATAAAAAGGTGTGGCTCTTCATCTGTGTAGACCTTTGCATGTCTCTTAGTAAGCTTCAGGAAGAAGTAGCCCTAACTACTTCTTTAGTATTCCACTCGCATATATACTCTTTGCGCCCTACGGTACCAGTAGTGCGTTGTTCTCCTGACATTCCTATCTCTACCTACCCACAGAGACCATTTACTTCACAACTGGTTCGAGCTGCTATCCACGTGTCCTGCAACTACCAATATGTACGACACGCCTTCGTTCTTCAGGGACAGCAGTCTAATGCAGTTTTTGGTAGAGTTACTTCAGACTTTAGTTGAGTTCAACATCACACTGGAAGCCTCACTTCTGAAAGGAATCTCATGACACAGTGGAGTTTGGGAATTTTCTTTTAGACCGCGATCTCTTCCTTAGATCAATCGTAGCCATAGTTGAGCTTTCGAATACTGTCGTAGCAAACTGTGATTTGTTTTAAACAGCCTTTGTTTAACGACACCTGCCAGATCCATAGGAAGCTATTGGCAAGAATCTCTTAATCGGGTCGGTCTGTGTGATGACACTTAAATGCAAAGCGTGTGTAGCTGGCAGTTTGGAAAAGGTCAAAATGGCTATGCGCGTTTTTTTTTAATTCGTTAGTGGCTGCCATTCCTTTTGTTAGATTATCAAAGCACCTAACTCAAATGCGCTTTAATAACTTGTCATCAAACTGATCGCCGGAAGCGAAGACTTAACTAGGTCTTCTCGTGGCTGTGTTAGCCACTGCATGTAGTATTGAAGCACTTGCTATATAGTAACCAACATTGGCCTCATGGAGAGAGATAGTTTCTTTATTACAACAAATTTTTCGTATTTTGCAAGATAAACGTCAATGCCGAAGATCAAATTGGGCGAAAACAAATTTTTTTGACTTATAAATAGTGTAAATGTATATTTGTAAATAGTTTAACTTATTGATGCTTAAGTTAATCGAATGACTAAAGACAATGGTCAACGGAAGGGATTTTTCTAACAATTTTGTATTGATTGGTCGAGTAAAAACTGTTGACGATTCTTGAGTCGAACAAGAGTAGTTTGACTATTGAAACCTTGCGCCTTCGCCACCAGTTTAATTTTGGGGCAATGGTAGACTGCCAAGTACACCCTCCAATTACTTAGGCAGGTGCTCGGGGAGGTTTTTAGGAAGTCACGCGTGTGTCTTTACTGCAAGTGCATGACTTCTCTCGCGCGTGCAGTCTGCAACCCCTTGCGCAGGCTGGCACTAGTGTGACCTAGTTTCCAATAGAAGGGTTACCCAGGTAACAAAACGGTTGAAAGGAGTATGACAGCTGTTTCATTAAAGTGTCGCCAAAGCCACGTAATTTTATGATAAGATCTGATAACAAATGAAGATTTGTTTAATTTATTATTTATTGGGAACAATTCCATTTTGATATGTTGTTTAAAGTGAGGCGATTCTAAATAAAGGTCGGGGTGAATTTTGTGATTCTGTGTTGATAATACTGTTATTTAAAGAAGATGTTAATCAGTGAATATTACAGTCATATTGGAGAAAAGAGAACTCTGAGTGTTCCCAGTAGGAGTCGAACCTACGACCAGGGCGCTCTGCTAGGACCAAGGCGCTCTGCTAGGACCAGGGCGCTCTGCTTCGACCAGGGCGCTCTGCTACGACCAGGGCGCCCTGCTACGACCAGGGCGCTCTGCTACGACCAGGGCGCCCTGCTACGACCTTTTGATTGATACTTCAAATGTTCTACCCTTGAGCTACAGGAGACTCGAAGCAACAACCTCTACAACAACAACAATTTATTCTTTGGTTTTTAACATAAAATAACAGTGGAATAATTTTCCCCGCAAATAGCTAGAAAGCTAATCGTGGCGGGGCAAGTCAAGTACCTGAATAACATAAATCGTCTAATATCTTAGGACAAGGAGTCGTTATTTACACATTCACAGAGTCACACAAAAAGATAAGAAGACATTTAAACTTAGAAGGTGTACCTATGTACCCACTTTTTTAATGATCATGGGGATCTGAATATAGTTATCTTCTTTTTCTAAGATATCAAATAGCAATTTGCGAAGGACATTTTTGAAAGCTTTCTTTGGGAAATCCGTTATACAGCTTGGTATCTTATTCCACAGCTTTACTCCGATCTGAGAGAAGGAATTGTTTTGTATTTCTAGTCTCGAACTTTTGACTTAAAACTTTCCAGGCGTAAACGATCGTGTATTGTATGAATGAATATTAGACGTTTTCTGAAATAGATTTAGTATGTTTGCTGGGGCTTTATCATTATTGATATCTTGCATTAGGGTTGATACGGACTCCTAATAAAGAAAAGTTATCGGAAATACGTTTGCTTTAAGAAGTAAAGGAATGGCTTGGTCATGCCAGTCTGCGTAGTACAGCAGACGAAGGGCTTTACGTCCTATGACTAGATCCATGGCGACGAACTTCTTGCACACTGCTAAGATAAGAATGTAGATATGTGATGCTGATGCCCAATGACGATGTTAATGTGTTTTTCTAGTTATCTATTCCCATTCACATTGAAAGCCGATTGTGAAGCTTCGATAGACAACTGAATAGCTGGGACTAAATACAGCTGGCAGAAATTGGACAGGAAACGTGTGATAACGTTTTGGAAAGTAGTCAACGGTGGTACCACACCAGGCCAGTTTCTTAGCAATATTTCCTAAACGATTTGATAAAAAAAAAAATAATAATAATAATAATAATAATAATTAATAATAACTTAATTCTTGATGGAAACTTTATAGTGGGGTTTCATCCTCTTTCGGCGGTATGCCCCATCATAAGTTACTGAATGACTCCTTTAAGAGTTGGGCGATATTCAGTCTCATCCTCTTTCAGCTCTTTCAGCTCTTTCATCCTGCCATGGAGAGAATATGGACTTCCCTTGTTCCGAGTCAGTTAGCTCAACTGATATTCTATTCCGCAAACTAATCTCCTTTAGAATAATAGGTGTTACAGTTTCTTGATCACCATTAACTTGGCTGAAATGTTTTTAAACTTGTCGCCTGAACTGTTGCAATTGTTCCCGCAACGGTTGTAGCACGGTTATTAAATGGCCGTTTCGTTGGTCTCGGTGTTTTTCTCTGCATGTTAGCGGCAAAGCACGTTTTAAATGCTCGGCGGTACTTTGATAGTCTCCAAGCGTAGATAAAAGGATTCGCTCCCGACGTCAAAAAGAGAAGTCCCGCAAATATGATTTCCAGCTTCTTAAATGTTATGGACTGCGCACATGGCTGGCAAAAGTAGCGAAGATGAACAATTATAAACTCGGGCAACACAGTGGCGTAAAACAAAGTCAATACCAATAAAATTGTCACCACCATGCTTCGTTGTTTATCCCAAACTTGCTTATTTATCATCCCAACGTTTCGCAACTCTCGTGTTCTTCTCACTAGAGCTCGGAAAACGTTGAAGTAAATGACTGTCAGCAATATTGCAGGAACTGAGACGTGAGTGTGAGCGTAGAGAATTATGACAATTTTTTCCGGAATGCTTGTTAACTGAAGAATGGAAAGGATAAAACCAACTGCCCACATGAAGGCAATAGAAATCTTGTATTTCGACTTTGTAATCATCCATGTGTATGTAAAAGTGTGTGCCACGACAACGTAGCGATCACACGACAACGTCACTATTGTTCCGCTTCTTACGAACAACAACAAACTCAGAAAAAAGCGAACGACAACGTCCAGTTTGGCAGGAACCAACCAACTCTGATAACGGTATAAAGCTAGCACTGAGGCGAGATTCCCTGCTAGCAATCCAACAACAAGATCAGAAATGCACAGATTTGTGATGAGTAGAGATGGAGGTTTTTCGAGTAAACGACGGCTTTCCGTAAATATTGTCGCTAGCAAAACCGCGTTTCCCACTGTTGTTATCATAGACAGCGCAAAACCGGCAACTGTAAGCCCCAGGAACAACTTAGAATCATTGAGTATCGAGGAATCATTCGTCAAATACACCTCATCTTGTTGTTTCAAAGATAATGACTGCTCCATCTTAGAAAGAGAGTCTGAATTTCGCGAATGAAATATCCCGAGAAGTCCTATATAAGAGCCCTAGTGACGTCAGAGAACAATAAACATCCTCTTTCGTGAAGTTTGTCAATAATATAACCTCCGTTTCATTACGTTTGCAAACTCTTCTCTTGTTCTTCCAATATAAGGCATGGGTCGCACTTAGGCAAAGTTTGGTGTAAATGTGGTCACTTTGGTGTAAAAATCTGTCATCGGGGCACATTGCCTAGTGCGACCCTAACTTTTCCAGTTCGCAAAAACTTTGAAAACCGGCCAAAACATCAGAGACGCCGTAGTGCTTGGGTGGGGCAGGCAGATTTCGGAAAAATCGGGCTAAACAATAGCTATCACAGCGGTAACTGTCATCGCTTGTCAGTAAACAGCAAACGACTCGACTGGTCGCGGAACTGACCAGGCATATGGCGCTCGAAGTAATCTTCACTGACTTCGATTTCTCGCTCTCATCATAGCGGCAGTCAAAACAGTTAAACAGGCGTTAACCCATCTTTCATAGATCATACGAAAGACAAAAAAGTGCTCGTGATTTGACTGAATAAGAAGAATAAGCATCACCGTGATCGTTATTAACAATGCTTCAACGAGACGCATTTTTTTAACGTTTGTTTTCCTTTTTTAGCCCACTGCTCTCTCCCCATAACACGTCGATAAACGTGTGTCTGGTTTTTCAAAGTGTCATCACTGACATTTTTTTCACCTAGTACGACCCTGATAGTTAAAACCAAAAGTTTGCTTTCCGGTTGCGGTTTCAAATTTTCTGTGGTTTTTTAAGCCGACAGAAAGCGCGATCTCCATCTATTGCTTTAAATAACCAAACTAAGCGTGGTTGTAATTAAAGAAACCACATTAAAATTTGGTTGTTTCTAAGTTACGAAGTACGAAGTTGGTTATTTGCTAAATAATTAAATGCGAAATTGCTTTTTTGACAAATGACAGTTATGAGGGTCTCGACGGCTAACCGTTGGCCGTAAAATGGCAAAATCAATTTAGCTGTTAGGCGTAAAAATCAGCGATTTTTAATCGTTACATTAGCCGTAAAAAGGATTAACTGTAAAAATTTTCCTGTTCAAAACAATAGAAAGGAATTAGGAGGGGGCATGAGAAATTTTCTTCTGCAAACATTTTTTTAAACATATACGTCTCCGCAAAACATTTTTTTCCACATCATCTTCGGGCAAACAACTTTTTCCCATATTTTTTTCAGCGTTCTTTTTATTTGTGCTAAATATTACCATCACCTTATTGAACTATTTTACGAAGAACGTAATCATTAGTGCCACTGATTTTGTTGATATGCGCTCCACTCACCTTTTAAAAGTTTTTGGCAGCTACTGACGCAAATAAAGAGCATACAACACAATACATTCCCATTTTTCAAGAAATATTCAACTATTTTTATACATATTGTTTCATACAGAGTGACCAACTTTTTAGTGCCCAAATTGCGTTAACTTTCATACTAATGCTTAAATTTGTTACTTTATTTTTTCATTTCAGTTTTGGTAATAATATTTTTAATATCTTACCTGACTTCTCTGCAAACATTTCTTTTTTACCTTATCACGTTTTGCAAACAATTTATTTTGTCTTTTAAGAGAACAGTTTGTAACTGATTAACGCGTAACAGTTTAGAATGATCGCGTAACTTCCGTTGTCACGCAAGGAACATTAGACACTCAGAGAAAAGTAGCCTTTCATAGGCACGTGCTATCAGAACAAACGAAACGAAGGATAAAAGATCGAAAGAATAAGAGTTAAGATTGGAGAAAGAGGTATGATTTGTATATTATGTATGCTTGTCGATTTAGTTATAATTGGGTTCGATGTTTTTGCCTGTATCGTCAGTGATTTGAAATATTTAGTAATTTTCTAGTATTGTCATACGCCCCCTGTTTCGTGACGTCACCATAGTAATCACAGGCAGCCCAAGCTCTCTACTAGAAAAGCGGACGTGACTCTTACCGTGTTGCGCTACGTTTTATATTTATAAAGGTTTGTATGGGATGTTATCGGTTTGCCTTAAAAGAGAGGAAAAAATGTCTTGTTTTGAAATAAAATGGACTTACCTTATTGCCTTGTTGTTTTCTTTGTTGATTCCTAGCATCTCAGGCCATTTTGAAGCGTTTTCGGCGAGTTAGCGCTATGTCGGTGTTCAACATCTCTGCTTTGATTTTCTGGAGGAATGGAGACTGGTGGTAATTTTTTGGCGGAATTATTCGCTTCGGGCGACGGACACTTCTAAAATAGGTTTCCGGCCTTGTCTTTCTTTTAGCAGTTGAACATCAACATAGCGCTAACTCGCCGAAAACTCTTCAAAATGGCCTGAAATGCTAGGAATCAACAAAGAAAACAACAAGGCAATAAGGTAAGTCCATTTTATTTCAAAACAAGACATTTTTTTCCTCTCTTTTAGGGCAAACCGATAACATCCCATGCAAACCTTTATAAATATAAAACGTAGCGCAACACGGTAAGAGTCACGTCTGCTTTTCTGGTAGTGAGCTTGGGCTGCCTGTGTAGTAATAGGCGTTTCGTTGTAATTATCTTTTCAGTTTTTACGTGAATCAAGCAACTAATTAAAGAAATTTGATAGATAGAAAGACTGGCTTGGTTCTTAGTGATAGTCTCATCCAACCCTATCGCGTTCGGAGCACTAATGGAGTGTAAGACCATGTGAGAAGAACTCCGTTCGTTACACATTTTTTTTTCAAAATTTCTCATACCCCCACCCCAGAAAAATAATGGTCTGTCCCTAAGTCCTGCCTGCCGTTACCACTGCCCCTCCTCCGTACACACCTCCGTTTAGAATAATGCATGAGGCCACGTGACGAAGTCCACGCAACTTCTTCAGTTGATTTCAACATGGACTCCGTAGTAGCGGGCAAACGAAAACACTTCGATGCAGACGAAGATACAACCAATCGAAAGGTGAATTTTTATTTTTCGAACCGCTACTACTAACTTACTTTGTCGAGCTATACTTGGTTGTTCCACATGAACGGAGAGAAGAGATGATCAAATATTGTATTTGTCGAACACGACCGTACGTGCTTTGTCTTAGTTCATTGATTTGATTTTAAATGTACACCTACTACAGTTTTTTTTCGCTTTTTTTGTTTGTTTTCGCAGAAGCATCTAGCTGAGAATGATGAAAAGAAACACACTTCGATAGTGTTTTCGTTGAAAGAAGAGATTGGATCGCTGGCTAGAGCCCTCAAACTTTTTGAGGTACTACACTACTCACAGTGTCCTGCATGTATTTAGAATAAGTAGCGGGTGATCTAGCGATCCATTAAAGCCCACATCTTGTGTTCTTCATTTCCCGCAAGAACATTTTCCATTCAGAATTTTCTGACGTTATGTCTGAGACGAAAGTGTTATGAGGCCGGGCCCAAATTACTCGTAGAAAGATCATGCGATCTTCTGGTTATCTTCTGATGCGGTCTGTTAGCCTTCAAGTGAAACCTAGTTTGTTTTGTTTTTAGAGTGAACCTTCATCATTGCTATCACATTTTCAGTTCCTAGTATTTGCAATCTAAAACAACTGTGGGAAACCTAGCCTTTTCTCGCAACAGCAATAGAAAAGTATGCGAGAACTGCCCTCCAAACTTGATTTACACCTTGGCTCGACGTGCTTTATCGAGATACGAATCAAGCGAGAGGAGTACGTAAGAGGGGCGAATAGTTGCTCGAGGCGTAGGCGAGAGCAATTTTAGCTTGAGTCCTCTCCAAACTATCAGGGTGCTACAGATCTCGGTGATTGCACAGCCGAAGTCTGCACTAATATTGTTTCATATGACTTCCAACGCAGTTGTTTGAGTGTTGTTTTCTTGTAAATCAAAACTTTTTGAGAAACAGTGTTCAGTAAATCCATGATAAATCGTCATTTTCAAAAGATAAGATAGCTGTGATGAAATAAGAACAATTAAATAACTTGTGACTAAAGAAAGATGTCGTAGTTTAAATCAGAATATTTCGGTGAGAAATCAAGATTTGGGATGAAAGACACAGAACCTGCTTGTGGATTATAATTAGTATTCGAAATCAATTTGCAAATTTCTTGGATTTACTAGACAACTACGTAGCATTGTGAGAAAAAAGTCTGAAAGCTGTATGATTTTTGGGATTAACAGATGTATTTTGAACTAATGAGTATGCTAAAATTTTGCATATATTTTCATTTATGAATGTAAATATATGCAAGAAAGTGAATGAGATGAAACTATTTAAAAGGCATGGATTTAGAAAAATTGTATGGTTGACATGGTTCTACTGTTACGGCAAGGTGTCTTTACTGAATTGAAAAATACCAAGCTGACTTGGGTTCAAACTGACCATGCTCATTTTATGTTGTAATGTTAGTAATAAAGTCAATGTTTAGTGGTCAGTAGAGATATTATTAATAGTTTATAATTAACACGGGGAGGTAAATTAAAGATAATCAGTGTTTCATTGTCCACAGGATCACAATGTGAACATGTCACACATTGAGTCAAGGCCATCAAAGCGCTCCAAGTCAGAATATGATTTCATTGTGGATTGTGAAGAACTCCAAGGGGCCAAGCTTGAAAAGTTTATGGATGCCTTGAAGGGTCATGCTTTGTCTATCATGCTACATTCAGAAGAAGGAGGAGGTATTTACTTTTTACATTATAATTAACCATGATAATTTAATTTTTGATTTTCACATAAATTTGAATTTATTTTTCTCATGGAGTTTTTCCTATTCATTAGCTTTGTCTATCCTGTTCACTGATTACTCTTAGTCTACAAACAATTGCACATAACGAGAGCAAAGGTTATTAATCCTTGTTCTGGATCTTGTTCTGTCTTTCAGACAGAGCAGCATCAGGTCAATTGATTCTACACCATCAATCACTATAAATTATCCCAACATGTCATGATGTTCCTTTTTTTTTTTTGCACATTTATGACAATCACTTTTTCATAACCTTCTCTCTTTGGTCAGAAATTTGTTTTGAGCAGTATATTTAAAGGTATGGGGTGTAAAGGAAGACAGAGTTTTAAAACTTGCAGAGTTCACATGTGACAATGTGATCAGATATTTCTACTTTAATTCCCTTGGGCAGTGATTGGCATCAGGTGCTTTCTAAAGGAAGCGCGTGTACCTGAAAATCCAATTAGGATGACTCTATAATTCATTGTTAATATACTTGACACAAATAATCCTTCTCTATGATATTAAGATTGTTGATTTGTGCTCAAAATTTGCAATAAAAATACCAATCTCCTTAAGAAAGTAATAGATAGTCATCTCAATAAAGACCATGGATGCAGGTATCCTAACCCTCCAGGACAAGGGAAGGCATTCCTATGAAAAAAACTGCTTTCTGGATTACATTTGGCTTATTCATGAAATAGGGCAATGCTGCTCATTTTGAAGTAAATTTGATGTACTATAACAGTGTATCTATTATTACAAGCCCTACTTGTAAAACTACTATACTGCACTAGCATAATATTAATGATGCACTCTAAATATTTTGTGTTGTATTGTGAGTAACCAACGGTCTTGAAGTTAATAAATTGCGTGATTTTAAGCTAAACCTTAGTAATACCAGATTTTTTTATTTACATTCTTGATCTTATTTACAACAGAGTAGGTAAATTAAAATTCTAAGAATTTTGTGTGATCCCATGGTTTCTGTGATAAATTCTGTCAGTAACATATAATAGACATGACTATGCTCTGACTGATATTTATACTAAATTTTAAGTTCAAGTTTATTGTTGTGGATGTAACTGAATTGGCCTGTGTACATGTATGTATTACATTGAAAGTACATTGACACATACACTCAACAACAGTCCAGTGATCCAGAATAAGCTACAGGCACTAATGAAATAAATGGATGGAAATGTGGAGATGAGGGAAACTAATAGATCTCACTTCAGAAGCCATAGATTAAATTGTTTACTTGCTTGCTTGATTACTGATAAAACATGCTCAGATACTTTTTGGTGATAAACTAAATTAAATAATTTGCAATTAAATACCTCAATCAGTCTGGGCCTCTCCATCATTGCTTTCTAGATTTATGTTAATGAGATGAAAATTTACTATAATATACAGGTCTTCTAGAACTTATGTGAACATGTAACTTCGACAAAAATGGCTATAGTTATAATCAAAGTTGATTTCAAGTAAAAGTATTTTACTTTTGGTTTGACTTAACTAGTAAAGATAAATTGCTTTTTCTTTTTTTTTTTTGATAAAAGCCAAAGCCACTTACAGAAAGGTTTTTAAGAAATGCCATTTGGTCATCTAATATAATATGATACATTTGTAATTCAATTAACTATCACAGGCAAAAAGCACCTGCACTGAGTCACCTTGTTGGTCAGGTAGAGCATATTTGTTGCTTGTTTGTGTCGAGTCAAAATGTTTGTGACGCAAGATGATATTTTTGTTTTATCTGCTTGCATGATTTAATTGCTAATATATACTTATTTGACTTTTTTTTTCTGCTTACAATTAATCTGTTGTGGTGGTTACATGTACATTGCAACTCTTCAGATCCTGATGATGGTAAGTGGAAGAGTCATAATGACAGTTAATGATTATGAGTTGATTTTAATGAAAACCCTGGCACACTGCAGGATGTGCCACCTTAGCACTCCAGAATCACCTAAACCTCTTAATTTTTACCACTCACAAAATGTGCTCTGCAACAATTAACTTTTGGAATTAAAAAGATTTTGGACTCAGGTCCAATTTCTTAACTGTACATTGCAGAATGACACCCAAACTTTGCATACTTGGTTTGACAGGAAATGCACACAATGAAATAAAACCAACTGATCTTGGTAATTAAATAAGGAAAGTGTTCATTTGATTTTTTTAAACAACAAGTGATATAGAATAGCAGCAATAATAGAAGGTGTGACATGAGTAGTAAAGGGTGAAGAGGGCAGTTTAGAACCTCTAACCATAATAGTGTAGTTCCACTTAAAATTACATGCTGAACATTTCCAGGTTTAGGTTTCTTGCCTTCAAGTACTTAAAGGTTTGAATGATGAGGCAACTAGAGATGTAATGTGAAGGTGTAACATAGGATAAGGTACTTGTATGTTAATGATAACAATATAAATAAAGCCCATATTTCAATGTCAAACTGGGGTCCAAGATGACATTTATGTTCACATGAATTTTATACCTGACATGTTGGTAAAAGTTTCATTTGAAGTATGCCATTAAGTGTCTTTTATATCCCTAACTAAATCAAAATACGATGAGTGTCACTAAATTTAATTTCTACTAAACAATTCAGATGTTAAAGCAAATGCATCTTAATACTTGATATCTCACCCCTGCCCTCTTAATCATTAATATGTCATTTGCAAAGCAGGTTGCTTAATTAGCTAGCAACTATCACTTTACCTTGTGGCTGCTGGGTTGAGTTGAGCATTAGTTACTCCCAGCTCTTCTTGCTGTCTTATAAGGATATTCTGTTTGTCTAGGGTTACAGCTAGTGTTTAACACCACAGTCTTCCAGAAGTGTGGTAGTTTGTGGAGGAGGAGGGGGGATTTTCCAAGGGTGGCTTGGGATCACCTTCTCATATGAGGCTCTTTTTTGACCAATAAGCTGACAGGTTGCTCAGGAAAGTGAAATTTATTTTTGAGCCTGAGAGCTATGCCTAGCAAGAGCCACTAAGAGAAGTAGATATATCTTATTAACCAAGCGCGAGGGCCGTACTGGGAGAATATCGGACCAAGGTCTTGACAGTACAGACTGAGCGCAGCGAGGTCCATACAAAAAAGACCGAGGGCTGATATTCTTCCAGTACGGTCCCGAGCAAGCTTGGTTAATAAGAGATTTATTATATGACTGAAGTTCAAAGGGACACAAGTGCGGTATCATTCGGGACCATTGGGGACAGTGCCCGGTCCAATACTGAGAGATTATTGACCGGCAATAGTGCATTTTGATTGGTTCATTTTAGTTATTGGCCCTCTGAATGCCCGAATCGTGTAATAAAATGAGTTATTTATGTTTGATCAAGAAATTAAGAGCATAAAGGAAATTATTTTAATTAGTAATCATGATTCTTTTGACATACAGACTCACTTAGTTTTATAACATATTGCTCTCTGTAATGGACTACTAATAGCTTGACTACATGAGTAAAATGTATGACATTACAAACTGTTGTGTTTGAAGTTGGTGAAAGGAGATTGAGAAAGTGATCAGGCATAACAAATAATGAGGTGTTAGAAAAATTTACATGTAGTAAGAATGTTAAATTTTTGGTGTAATTGCATTATTTTTTTTAGGATGGGGATTGGCTGTTAAAGAAGGCTTATAAACATATTTCAGCATAAGCAGTAAATCAAGCCTCTTGTATTTACCTTCTGCTTATAAATGTAGAGAAATTTGGTTGTATTCTTTTGTCTCTTTCAAAGCTTCAACAATCATGAAAAGTGACTTGAAAATCAATCACAGCCCACAGCATTAAATATATAGTCAAAGTCATCTTATTAGGAATATTAGAATTTATCAGTAGGAAAGTATTACTTACCACTCGCCACCTGTAGCTCCGTTTAGAGGACCTTTGGAAATGATGCCATGGTTTTAATACTAGTAATAATAATAATAATGATGATAACACCTTTATTTAGACACGATAATGTTCAAAGCTGAACAGCTTGTGGGGTCGTGTGTAAATCCAAATAAACTCTAAATTAAATAAATTAAAATGATGATGGTTTTTGAGGAGAGGGGAAAACTGGAGTACCTGGAGAAAAACCTCTCAGAGCAGAGTAGAGAACCAACAAACAGTACTCAATCTACTTATGACATCAGGTCCGGGAATCGAACCCAGGACACAATGGTGGAAGGCGAGCGCTCTCACTACTATGCCAACCCTGCTCCCCTGCCAACCCTGCTCCCCCCCACTCATATTATTTTAAAATATTCCAAGATTTGACATTGAATAATCTCTCCCTATCTAGTGCCTTGGTTTCCTCGTAAGATTGCAGATTTGGACAAATTTGCAAACAGAGTATTGAGCTATGGTTCAGAGCTTGATGCTGACCATCCAGTAAGAACACATCTTTTCATTTTACAGTTGTCCATTCAAAGAATGCATAATGAAACAAACCAGTATCATGGTTTCTTTAAACTTGTGAAGTTTACCTTGTACTCCATACCAACAGGAGCAAAATGTTGTTTAAACTGAACATCGTCAATGCATAATCTACAGAGCCACTTGATTCCAAATAGACTTTTGTAACAGATATAAAATTAAGATTACTTACAAGTAATTATGTCCTAATCCTCAGATATTTAGACTAATGTAAACCAGACAATTCGTTAAATCTCTATATAATTGATTGAGCCTTAATGACATAATCATCAGTCATGGCAGAAGCCAAGCTCAGTGAGGAGAGGATTGGGACAATGGGTCTTGACATCCTTTCCTTTTACTATAAATCTTTGTATTTTCTTTAACCTCCTTGTTGAGTGTTATTGGTGTCCTAATTTTTTGGACTGATAATACAAAAATTCCAAAAAATACCCCTATCTAGTATTCTGGCAGAAGCAAGTCATTTTGAAAAGGGAATGCCTTACGTACATGAAGCTTTTTTCCTTACCCACCAAGTAACTTTCAAAGTACTAAAGAGGGATAGTCGAGGAAAGGGTCAGACAATTGAGTATGAGCTGCTGTCTTACTCCTGATTTTACCTCCTACTTCAACCCCTCAGTTGACAATTCTCTGTTGAATGAGAATTTTTGTTTAAGTAAATGTGCATGATTCTAAAAATTTGTCTAGAAATTCACTGACCATGAGCTTTTTTTAAAGGGCTTCACTGATCCAGTGTACAGGGCTCGCAGAAAGGAACTTGCAGATATTGCAATCAACTACAAGCAGTAAGTTGAATTTTGATAGCTCCTTAACTAAAATAATCTGTATATTTGCTATTATTGGTAATCAATTTTTTCTTGGTGACAGTGGTCAGCCAATTCCACATGTGAAGTACACAGCAGAGGAGATCAAGACCTGGTAAGATATTTATGTTACTTTATATATCAAGATTGAAAATAGATTGCGGATTTTTTATTACAATAATTTGTTTTTATTTTCATGATTATTATTGCAAACATTGTTGTTTGTAGTATTACTATGTAATTATTATTTAAAATGGTGAATGCAGTGGAATGGTTCCTCTGGACTCTGTTCAACAATTTTAGTTTGAACTTTTATTAATATATTTCCTAGTTCCTCCTCCTCCTCACGGCATTAGAACAGGAGTGTGAAACTGTTATGAAAAAAATCACTCAATCAATTGAACAATAAAAACATTTATTACACGACTCAGGCAGTCAGAGGGCCAATAACTAAAATCAACCAATCAAAATGCTCTATTGCCGGTCCAATATTCTCTCAGTATTGGACTGGGCACTGTCCCGAATGGTCCCGAATGATACTGCACTTGTGTCCCTTGGAACTTCAGTCGTATAATAAATCTCTTATTAACCAAGCTTGCTCGGGACCGTACTGGAAGAATATCGGCCCTTGGTCTTTTTTGTACGAGCCTCGCTGCGCTCGGTCCGTACTGTCAAGTCCTCGGGCTGATATTCTCCCAGTACGGCCCTCGCGCTTGGTTAATAAGATAGATATAACTATTTGATGATTTTATCTTTGGTTAATTATACCTCTTGACTGTCCGTTTGTTGTGAGCCCGCATACTATGCAGCGGTAATGTTACCATGTGCTCTTATCAATATGATCTTGCTGTTGACCTGCCATCTTGTGTGTGTGTGTGTGTATACTCTTCTGCAACCCAAAAACATAACAGATTTAATTTCAGATTTTATCCTAGAATATCAAGTAATGTTTCACTTTTTCATTCTGAATCAATTGTTGAAGGTTTCATTAAATTTTTCATGGTAATTTTTAATTGATGGCATTACTCTTTGCAGGGATAAGGTGTTTTCTGAGTTAACAAAGCTGTACCCCACTCATGCTTGCCCTGAACACGGTTATGTGTGGCCGCTGTTGGTGCAAAACTGTGGCTATAGGTATTGATACAGTCTTGCAATAGAGAGTTTTTCATGAGAAAAGAGTTATGTTTGCTTCACCTAACCCATTGGGAGTGTTGTGTGTAGCTAGTAAGTGAAGAGCATGTAACTGTGGCTTCATTACAAGGGTCTATAAAGGGTGGGTCTTGATCAGTATTGTTGATGTTTTTTGTGAGAATTAGATAGGATTTCTTTAGAGACTCAGTAAAGAATAGGCCCCTTTATTTCTAGGTGAGTTTAGGCAAGTGCCGTGTAAGCATAAAGTAACATGACTTAAACTTGTCTTTCCCTCTGTGCACTCTTCATATCCAACTTGAACTTGCCTACCCTCCCCTGAAAAATGCCAAAAAATGATGCCTGTCTTGCAGGCATCGATCTGGCTGACAGACATCTGTCCTGCATTTTATTCATGGCTATAAACCCTCTTTAAGAGGGAAATGAAAACTTGGGAGTCTGAATGATTGTTAGATGATTGGTTGCCTAGACACATAGATCTCATGTTGAGCATTAACCATGAAGTCGTATGCCAAGGTGATGTTGCTAATTATGACTGTTAGTGCTGTTGTTCAGTTTTATCTTAACTTGCCGTCATAGGCTTGGTAACATCCCACAGCAAGACGTGGTGTCAAATTTCCTGAAGGGTAAGGTCATCAGTTTCTGTCTTGGAAAAATCCTCTTTTTTTGTTTTTTTTGTTCTCGTAGTTAGAATAAATTGCACCTATAAGTTCAAAACCTTTAAAACGGAAACTCTATGTCAAGTTTAAGCTTGTCAAATATTGTCTTGACATAAAGGAAGACCGGCACACCAGGTTTCAATTGTATTTTAACATATGATACGGAGACGTTAGACAAGCTTTATTACTGACTCACTGTTAAGGAGCGTAAGCGAGTTGACTGTAGGATTAACAAACAGATGAACCAACATACTGACAGAACATTAGACAGATGGGGATAGATAGGGAAGCTGGAACCTGAAACTTCGTCCTATTCACCTACTCCGGCACAAATTAACTCTTTGATCACTTGATGGAACTTCATCTTTACATTTGGATGATTTATGTATATTTTGAATTCCGACTCTTAGAATGCTCTGGCTTCAGTCTTCGCCCAGTTGCCGGCCTGATCTCATCACGTGACTTCCTTGCTGGACTTGCCTTCAGAGTCTTCCATGCTACTCAGTATATTAGACATGGTTCCACCCCTCTGTACACCCCTGAGCCGGACACTGTTCACGAGCTCATTGGTCATGTCCCACTTTTCGCTGATCCCGATTTTGCTCAGTTTAGTCAGGTGATATATCGATTTGCTTTTTATAAAGATATTAATGAGGATTTGTTTACCGCACAAAGTGAGCATACTATTTACACTTTTCACGTATCAAATTATGAGTGTCGTCATGGTACTGCAGATAGCATCTTGGCTTTTTTGCGTTTTATGAGGAATTTTTTTTCTGTACCAACATCACTAAATTCAGTTGTCGGGACCACAGGCAGCCCAAGCTCACCACTAGAAAAGCGGACGTGACTCTTACCGTGTTGCGCAATGTTTTATATTTATAAAGGTTTGTATGGGATGTTATCGGTTTGCCTTAAAAGAGAGAAAAAAATGTCTTGTTTTGAAATAAAATGGGCTTACCTTATTGCCCTGTTGTTTTCTTTGTTTATTCCTAGCGTCTCAGGCCAGTTTGAAGCGTTTTCGGCGAGTTAGCGCTATGTTGGTGTTCAACTGCTAAAAGAAAGACAAGGCCGGAAACCTATTTTAGAAGTGTCCGTCGCCCGAAGCGAATAATTCCGCCAAAAAATTACCACCAGTCTCGATTCCTCCAGAAAATCAAAGCAGAGATGTTGCAGTTCCATTTCCATTCACTCGATTCCCAATTCCTCCCACAGATCTTTGAACACCAACATAGCGCTGACTCGCCGAAAACGCTTCAAAATGGCCTGAGACGCTAGGAATCAACAAAGAAAACAACAAGGCAATAAGGTAAGCCCATTTTATTTCAAAACAAGACATTTTTT